TTGTACACATATCATACTAACATGAAAAAAGATGCGTCATACTGTGCACAATATAATCACATGAGTACAGTAAAACAGATTGTTTTTCTTCTCTGTGGAAAATTTAATCTTTAATAATTCGAACAATTTGCATCTTCATGGTGTATGCTTATTTTTGTATGACTTGAGTTCAAAACTACAATGAAAATAAGATCAATGCATTTAAAATGATTGTAAAAATTATACAATAGTTATTTGAATAAAATAACGGCGCAAAAGTTTTCTTGATAGTTTAATACGACAGATACCAAGTATTTCAATTTTTCATTATTCTGATTTTCGTTTTAGTATTTCGATTTCATGTACAAATCAGAATAGAATTGAGTATATGATTTTTGTTGTTTTTATTAATTTTATTTGTTGTAGTTTTATTGAACTTCATCATTTTTGGAATATATCCAACGATGATATGTGTTGAATGCATTGTTGTTTTGATAAGAATGTCATCAGCATCTTGCCAGAATTTGAAAGACAAATAAGATTTTTCTAACTTTCTCTACGTGTAATCATCAATGTAAGTTTTAGTGAAAATGGGTTGGTTATGAGTTTAAATGTTTCTACTATCGATATACTCACAAACACCTACACTCTTCAAATGTTTTCTAAGAAAAAGGTCCAATTTTATTAAAAGAAAATCCATAGTTCAATTCACACTTCATTGGAATACGATCAATATGCGATGGATACTTTATATGATTCAATTCTTTAGATATTGGACAATGGAGAAAAATATTTGTTTTCTTTTGTAAATATTTGAATTCGAATATAGTGTATGAATTATCTCATTTATTTACTAATTCATAGCTAACCGCTGCAGTCTTGTGAGGACTTCATTAAGTGAAAACTAAAAGAACATCAACTCATATCTCGCTGACGCGAAAAAAGCATTGTTCAGTTCAACTGTAGAATATGAATAATTATTCATTCGACAAAACACCTGAAATAGGATTATTTCAACTACATGAAATTTATCAGTATACGAATATCTTCGAATTCTCTTGCTTCTTTTTTTTTTTATAGAAGCGTTTTATGATTAGGATAATAAAATTATAGAAGGAAAAAGATATTTGAAAAAGCAAACAAGTCACTGTTGAGTCATTTTTTAATTTTCGGCGCTATCAATACCAATAAGTATACGTTGAATAAACATGTTCCATGATGAATCACTTAATTCTAATTGCTTACAATATATGCCATTACGTTGATTTGTTCGTTGATAGAAATCGACCGCTTTGTTTATTTGTTCATTCATATTAGTAGGTAAATGGTTGCAAAGATGAATCTTCGAGATAGAAAGAGATTAATCTAGAAAATGAGAATATCAAAAAAAACTCGGCTCACTTTGATTTGTTCAAGGTTAAATAAAAATTGAAATGTATTTTGTTGTGACGCTGGTGTTTGAAGAGCAAACCAAATAAGAATAACACCCATGCCGATCAAACAGAGAATTTCATTGCGTATGTTCAACGCTAACAAAACAAAAACTTCATATTTCTATACTTTAATAAACACTATTCAACGTTACCCAATGAGTTAAAACCTTGTTCACATAAATAGTTTTCAGGACCATTGATAATATCAGAATCAATTTCTTATTCAGAATATGCAAGGTGGTAGTCTCTTGAAAAGTTGGTGCATTTATTGAGGAAGCGCCATTGCTGAGAACAAAAACTTAAAATTCAGCGTTTACACCCGCTTTAGAGGTTCCTCGAAGCTACTGTTAAATGATGTTAGTTATACTTCTATTCAATTTTAATAAACTATGCATCAGTCCGATTTCACTGTACAGCACACGCTATGTAGTATAAATTTATTGGATTAAACTGGCATCGTATTGGAGCAGAATAGACTTTGAGTTCAAATGGAGTTTGATTTGCTATGCAGATTAATTGCACTCTTTAAAAACGTTGGTGTGTCGTTTAGGTTTGTCTCGAACATTCTCTCAAAATATTTTTTTTAATGGAAAAACTATTCTGAGATAATTTTTAGAACAACTCAGCGCAGTATCAATGGGATGAAACTGTAGAACTCACGCAGGAATGTGAACAAACATAATCCACAACAAGAGAAATATAAGAAAGTCTAATAGTCAGAATCCTCGATACTCTCAATCGACAAAGCGCGTTTCTCTCACCATTCTTTGCCATTTGTTCGATTTACCAAGTAAGGGGTATCATGGCCCATGCCCCACATTCATATATTGAAAGAGTATGGTTCATCAGATTACCAAATCTTTTTATCAAAGGACTCTTCATTCAAAACATGACTCTATCACATGACGCAGTCCGTCAATACTAGAAATCTCAATGTTTCGAGAATTATCGCAATGGGATTGAACACACCGTAGTGTCCTTCACGTACGCACACGACTCCTTGAGGCACAAAAGAAGGACCTGAATACTGTTTGACTCTCCGTCTAGAAGTTGAATACTTCCGTGCAATAATCTTGCCGTTATCTTGCGATCTTTCATTTTTTCTCCTTCTCCTCGGAATGTGGAGGGACGCGGAGGAATGCAATTTCACCGTGAACTCACCAGTTTATAAAAAACTACACTAAATTTGACCATTTACTGTTCAGATCGTGACTGTTACATATCAGACCTGTTTCCGCGAAACGGTTGACTTTTTCAACCGATTCGAGTTCTGATTAGATTGCGTCAGAAATATGAGTATTTGATGGCTGATAGAGATGATCAAAAACTAGTTGTCTTGGGTTTTTAGCAGAGCTGGGCAACTCAATTCAAAAAACGACCAACTAAACTCAATTCAATTCAATTCATGAGCCTAGTTGAATTGAGTTGACAAAAATTTTTCAGGGTTTACTAGTTGAATTGAATTGAGTTGAAACACTTTTCAAAGATACACTAATTGCTCTGAATTGAATTGGACAAAACTTTCAAACATCTATGAATTCAATTGAATTAAGTCAGGGAAAAAATCTTAATCAAGGAATTGAATTGAATTGAGTTGAAAAAAAAGCTCGTGATCGATGAGTTGAATTGAATTGAATTAAGAAAAAACTTTCGAAGTCATTGAATTGAGTGGAATTGAGTTGGAAACAATTTTCAAGATACCTGGATTGAATTGAATTGAATTGAAATATTTCTCCAAGATGTATGAATTGAATTGAATTGAATTGAATTGGAATATTTTTTTCCAAGATGCATGAATTGAATTGAGTTGAGTTGAGAAAAAATTTATAGTATCTGTGAATTGAATTGAATTGAGTTGAAGTTTTCTTTTAATGAATTGAATTGAATTGACCACCATTTTGAGCTGAGTTGCCCAGCTCTGTGTTACACCGAGGCTCATAAGTTGCAAGGAAATAATTCCTCTCAATATTACTGTGAAAGCCTTGAAATTCCCCCTTTGACGAACGACAAAAACACTTTAGGGGATTATCAGTGCTTGTAAGGAGATCGCTATTCATTTCTATGTTTGATATGCCTAGTCTTTCATAGTAATCGAAGAGCGATGCGAAAAAATCAGGAAAATCATGGAAAATAGCTGAAATCAGGACGCTCTCAAAAGAATCAGGAAAAAATCAGGAAAGTAGTGCCGCTGCGAGGCCTGAATTCAAAATAGGGAAGCTTTTTTACTTATTCATGTATTATTCAAAGAAATTTCATAGTTTCAATTGGGAGAGGTTCTCTTTTACCAATGACTATGATATTTTGACATGATGAATCTGATTTCTTACGAAGGAAAAAGTATAGGAAAAAAATTTTCTTTTTCGATTTGTTCATATCTTTGGAATATCGTAAACTGCTGGAGTCTACA